GAAGGGGAGAAAGAAAAAAAATAAGTAACGGCCACGTACGTGGCCGCGGGTTCAGAATAGATACAGGGGATAGGCAGAGGAAGAAGAGGGAAGGAAAAGGAGAGAAAGGGGGAACGGCCGCGAATATGGTCGCGGCCGTGGAACAGGTGCAGCCCCTAGAAGATTCTAGGGGCTGATGGGACTGCACCTGTTCGTTTTGAGCAGGCAACAGTAAGTGGCTGAGTACAACCATTTCCAGGAACACCTGGCCTGGGAAAACGGCCAGGTACTCCTGGGAGTTGATGACCCTGGTTCCCCTAGGGGAAAACCAAGGCATCGAGCTCCTTGCTGTCAACTTAGATCAAGGGTCAGAAGCACCGACGAATTTTGCCTGGTTGTGGGCAAAGCAGCTGCCCACATGCCTTCGGCTGGCTATAAAGGCCAACACTCCACCCAGCGGCCTCACACTTGTGGCAGTGTTGTTGGGGCATTCACTTATGTGAATGCTGGATGGCTGTTGCATGCTGCTGTAGAGAGGAAGTGTTACTGGTGGAGGAAGCGGAGGTCTGCAGGAGAAGGGAGGCAGCCATAGTTGAGGGTTGGGAACTTTTTGCCCCACCCTTGTGCGTGTGTTGTGTGTGTGAGCAGGTGTTGCGGCCGTGAGGCGGCGACAGCAACACTTTCGGTGGGGAAGTGCTGCCAATTTTTTTGGCAAGGCGGCAACGGTACTTCGGTGGTGAGGTGCTACCGGATTGACGACGTGGCGGCATCAAGGTCTCCCTAAGGGGAGGTGCTGTCCGTTTGGCGGCATGACAACAACGATATTTTTTTTGTGAGGTTATGCTGCCAATTTTTTTGGCACGGCGGCGGCACTCTGGCAGGAAAGTATTGCCAATGTTTTTTTTTGGCACAGCAGTCGTGGTACCGGTTTTTGACGATGCAGCGAGCGACAATTTCGTTTTTGTGGTGTGGAGCAGTTATGGTGGATTCTAGTGCGACCTATAGGCTGGGCTAGCACTGGTGCGCGTTTGGGATCGTGCGGCAGTGGTGCGTGGACCGACGGTGTGTGGAGAGCTCGGAGTGAGGGCACGCAGCAATAGTCATTTGGGCTCGCGACACATGCGGTTTTCAACCAGGGCCATCTTTATTTTTTCGCGGCGTGCTGAGCAAGCGGATTTTGAGTTTGGGACCATACGGTGCTTTGGCAGTAACATGAGACCACTTAGGAGCATTCTGGGACCAGGTGGGAATGATTTGAGATCGGGATGAACTTGTTGGTGGGGTTATTGAGAGCGGACGTGGTGAGAGGCGATGTAGCTTCTGAGTTGGTTTGGGACAGATCCTTGGGGACGTGGTGCCATTGGAACTGTAATTGGGACTGCATTGGATTGTTTTGAACATTGGGACCACGTGGAAACTCGATTGTGAGAACACCCTCCTGGAGGGTTATCTCGCTTCAATTTTTTTTATGGTCCGTCCTCTGCTCATTCGGACACTTGGTGGAAGACGTGGACTGTGGCCCAGGAAAAAGGCCACAACCTGCGGAGTTGTGAGCCATATATTTTTCTATGATGATTATTTTCTTCTGATTGGAATATTACCCGGCTTTCTTGAGTGAGTCGGGCCAAGCTTCACTCAAGGTCAATAGAATGACTCAGATTTCTCTTCACACCTGTGTGAACCCACACTTTGCTTGACCCCGTTCAATCGAATGTTCATTGAAAAGGCAAAAGAAATGTGTGTTTGCATATGAATGGTGAGGTCTGACTCGAGTATGAGATTGCGCTGGTTTTCTCTTCAACTTGTTGTTTTTGCGTGTTATGCAGGTAGGTAGAAGGATGTTTGCAAAGGAGATTGATTATGCCTATTTGAGATGAAGAAAATGATTGTCCTCTTTCTACCTTTCGCCTGCCTGCATGTTAAAAGCAATTGTATTTTGAGATTAATAATTTCAATGGGTAATGTAAAAACAAACTCTTGTGAACATAATGAAGGTAAAGATAATCAGACTTAGATTTTTTCCAGGGTTGATTCACTCTATCCCGGATTACCTTATCTACCTGTATCTGTCCAAATGATTCTCATTCTTTATCCTTTTTAATTCTTTTCGTCCAAGCTATCGTGAACTCAAAAGAAATGAAATAAATGAAAGTTACTCGCAGTGGATACATTCTCTTTCTCTAGGAAGCATCTGGGGCGGGGGGCGGGGGTTCGTTGTTTTAGGAGCCGACCCTGTTATCGACCCAGAGTGGACCGTTCTACGGGAGGGTAGTTGCCGATTCGGTGGAGACGGGCCGACTTCTGAGATCCGAGTCTTGTGCTCGGACAAGGAGGAGGAGTACCCTAGACCACTTCCTAAAGAGAGAGGCATGCAACACTTCAAGCAATGTACCTGATCAAGAATCATTCACAAAGCAGACAGTCATCCAAAAAAATTGGAAACGGATGAAGACAGTTATGTGTGTTGAATCTTAGGTCAGCGGTAGGCTGGAATGAATGACTTTGGCAGCGCATCTCATCAAGTCAAAATTGAGGCGGTCTGACAACCTTATCGACTGCATCAACGTTCTTATCGGTAGTCAAGTCTTTGTTGGCGATTGATTGATTGTTTTGTGGTGTTCGACCTGAGATGGTCGGATTGTATTTTGATCTCGTGTTATAGGATATAGTGTATGATGATTTAATTTTTTTTAGTTATCATTTCATAGCGGATATATCTTTCCCAAATACGGTCAATTTCTTTGAATATAATTATATATGGATGTTTTAAATATCTTTTGACTATGTGTCTAAGGGACTAGGATGAAGTTAGGTTTCACGCTTGGTTGAGACCGTCCTAGTCGACCGACGTCTGCTTCATACTTAGGAGATCAGCGCCCTAAGGGACGGACGACGCTCGAGTCCACTTGGCGTTTAACCAAGCGTATCAGCCCCTTAGGGAAGCAAGTTGTGCCCCGTGGGAACCTATCCTGTCGTAGGGGACCGCGGGATGTATAATTGGCGCACCCGGCTAGAGCTGCGAAAGGAGTGACGCTACTGTGGTCGTCTCGGCGGCTCAGAAGGGATTATTTTGCGTCGTTCTCGAATTGTCTCATGTTTTTATTTTGTTTAACTCCTGCGTGACATGGCCGGGAGGGCGCCCGCACTTTGCAAAAAGGCGGGAGCCGATGCGCTCGACACCGTGACTCTACTCCTTTCCTTATACAATATCGCTTTGTTTTTTCCTTTCTTTGGTCGTGTGCACTGTTCATCTCTTTCCTTTTCCTCCGCCCGTACTTAATGTCAGTTTCGTGACTCCGTCTTGCTTTCTTGTCCTTGCTTCTGCCAATACTCCTCCTTGTCTTTTCTCGACATTAACTATGTTCCTTGTTTCTCACTCTCCTTTCACTCCTCTTCGAGGTCTTACTCCGTACCTCTTCTCCCCCTTCTTACCCTCTTTCTTACCCTTCTTCTTGTCGCTTAGCGCGAGTGAGATTGGCCACGCCCAAGGGCGTGGCTTGACTCAACAAATCCTTCTATCATTCCTTGTTTCCTTACCCCTTTCCCTGCGGAAATGAGGAATGGAGGATGCACGCAGGTGTGCGCGCGTACCAGGCAGAATGAAAGTCGGACTTGGGTGACGAACGAGCGCGCGAATGCGCGGGGACGATGGCGTCGTCTTCGACAAGTAGCGCTTCAAAAAAAACTCGCTAACCGAGCGGCGCGAGCACTTCAGATCCAACCATTTCACGACCAGCTCTACGTCTGTCCGGTTTGTATTCCCCCGACAAGTCAAAATTGAATACAACATGATACACACACATGCTTCCTTCCGTATGGCCGAACGACCCCTGATCAACCTTGATTACTCCCTTGGAGGAGGATTGACTGTCAGCTTGCCCTTCCCACTTATTCCTCTCAGGCTCCACCCAGGGCCTGTCAAATAGATCTAGGCAAAACTAGAAAAGTGGAAGGTCTCGCTACTAATTGTGTATCTTAGTCTATCTCCTCTCCCGCCCGTCCGACTGTCTCTGCTGTTACTCATCAGAATATTGCCTCTTCCTGGGGTTCTTGGCTTGACATAACCTCATGACTGGGCCTGGTACCACTTCTTCCATCTCAGCCTGTTACCTGTGAGGGTGGCGATCTTGCCCTTTAGAAGCCAGTCTCTTTGGAATGTACGTCTCTTGCTTGCTTGTCTTTCTGGTTTGTGTTTCATAGGAGCCGCTATCTTTGTCCATCTGCTTCGGATTTCAGCCTCCACCATACTCAGCAGTAGAGACCACATTTCTTCTCGTGCCACCCCTGCTCCCTCGATTGTCAGTGTGCATATGCGTTTCCATATAACCCAGAGTGCCAAATTCCTGAGCAAATTGAACTAGAATTCCCTGTTGCTCTTGATGTTAGTGGGGGTGTTAACGAGAAGTAGGATAGTTCGAGAGGGGATGTTGGGAGGTGGTGTTGCAAAGAGGATCGACCAAAGTCCCAGAACCTTGTTCCAGATCCAGGTCGCTTCCAGAGAGAAGAGAAGGTAGTGGGGTATGTCTTCGGGTACATTGTTGTTACACAATGTGCATGATGCTGAGTTGTCTGGATCTGAGTGTTTCCTTCTCTCGTGAAGCCATTGGTTGACAGGGAGGGCTGTTTGAGTTATGAGCCACTGCATACTACAGATTCCGATCGGTCTGATGAGAAAAGATTTGGTTCATGGGATAGTGAGGGGGGTCTCGGTGTCTAAGTGGAGGATGTTTCTCCACTTCGTCACCAGCGTGGGATTGGGCTGAGTAGACAGTGCTTGCTGGGTTTTCCTCATTGATCTCTTTGATTTGAGCAACCGGTGTTTGGCCATGATCCAAAACAGGCTGCTCATGTTAGGTGGAGAGGTTATAGGTGCCAAGTTCCTGATGTTGTCTAAGGCCAATTTAGTCCAGGAAAGCGATTGTTTGGTTAGGATCTTTACTATCCATTTCATCTTAAGGTCGTTCGCTTCCTGTTTTGGGTCAATGATGCCTAGCCCCCCTTCGTGCGGTTTCCTGATGACGATTTGTCAAGCCACTTTGTTTATGCAGGAGGCTCTATTGGGGTGTTCGGTCCACAGGAAGCATTTGGCCCTAGCCTTCAGGCTCCTCACGTCGTCATCGGCGGGGACCATATGGATGCCATGTACCATAGCGTGAAGAATATTGTCGTGTTGATGATTAGTGCTCTGCGCAGCAGAGACATTGCATGGAGAATATTGTCGTGTTGATGACTAGTGCTCTGCCCAGCAGAGAAGCCTGGACTCTTTTGCGAGGAGCCAGGAGGGATATTGCTCTAGCTATTAAATTCTCCCCCATCCCTTGCTAGATGCCGTCTTTATTGATCATGATGCCCAGATACCGGAGTGCTTGGTCGCCCGTGAACCATGACATTGGGATGGATAGGTCCGAGGGTTGGGGGGGGGTGCCTTCTACTAACCACCAGCCTTCAGTTTTAGACCAGTTCACCTTCATTTCTGAGGCGAGTCGGAAGGCTTCCATAGCTCTGACCAAGGCTTGAAAGGAGGAGTTGCTTGAGCGGATGAGAACCATGAGGTCGTCAAAGAACATCAGCGCAGTGTGTAGGACGAAGTTGTGAAGGGGATTGTAGCTCTGTTCAGTGAGAGGGTCTATGAAGGGGTCTTTGCGGAGGAAGGCGGCTATGGCTTCCATGATGAACAAGAAAATTGGGAGCGCCAGCGGGTCGCCTTGGCGACCGGATCTCGATATCGGGTAAGTGTCTAACAGTATTGTGTTCATCGGGACTCTACCCATGGCGTCTCCGTAGAGCACTCTTACCCATTCCCTGAAGTTTGGGCCGGCTCCCATCTTCTCCATACAACTATGGAGGAAATCCCAGTTGACTTGAGCATAGGCCTTTTCAAAGTCAAGAAATAGGATTGCAGCCTACATTCGTTTTTCTGTGATCTTCTTTGCTGCCTCATTCAGAGCCATCACATTGTCTAGTATGTACCTTCCCGGAATGAAACCTGCTTGGTCAATGTGAAAACTTTTGTCTGTGAGTTTTATGATCCGGTTGGCTAGTGTTTTTGCTAGGATTTTGTAGGGGGCTGTGAGAAGTGAGATCGGTCTGTAGTTTTTGAATTCTTTTTCTTCTCCTTTCTTGTGGATTAGAGAGACCCACACTAGTGCTTAAAAATTGACCCAGACTGCCCTTTTCCTTACTGTCATTGATGAAGTTGAGGAGGTTGTTCCCCATTATCGGCCAGAAGCGGAGCCATAACTCTTTGGATAGGCCATCAATTCCTGGTGCCTTGTCATTACCCATTTGGGATAAGGCTGCATGCAGTTCTCCTAAGGTCATTGGTTTGTCCAAGTCCTCCGTTTGACATCATATGTTGGCAGGGAGGTGATGCTCGCTACGGGAGGGGGGGAAGGGGTAGACTCGGTACTTTTGAGTTTTGACTATGTTAAAAAAAAAAGAAAAAAAGGTTTTGACTGTGTTAGTACTATAGCATTGGCCTAGGATTAGTCCGGAAGCCTGTGAACAATGGAAGAACTGATTTGATCTCAGCCTTAGACCGGCAGTACACGGCCCCAGTGACTCGGTACTTTTGAGTTTTTACTATGTTAATAAAAAAAGGAAAGTTTTTTTTGACTGTGTTAGTACCATACATGCAAGCGCACGTCGTGCGGGCGGTTCCCTACGTGCGGCGCACGCGCCCAACCGATCCCGTGCGGCGCACGACGTGTGCAGAGAACGGCCTGTCACCCCGCTCAGAAAAAAAAGGTCGGGGTCGAAACGGTGCGTTTGAGGGGCCCCGCCAAAATTATAAGCGAGATGAAAAAAAAAATTACAGGAGTACTGCCTCACCTTGCTCCTCCTCCCCTTCCTCATCCTCCATGTCTCCTCCTCCCTTCTCCTTTTCGTCTCCTCCTCGTCCTCGTCGTCCTCCTCCTGTTCGTCCTCCTCCTCCTGCCCTTCCTCATCCTCCTTGTCTTCTCCTCCTCCTCGTACTTCCTCATCTTCCATGCCTCCTCGTCTCCTTCCCTTCCTCGTGTCCTCCCCTTCCTCGCCGTCCATGTCCCCTCCTCCTCCCACTCGTCCTTCTCCTCCTGCCCTTCCTCTTTCCCTCCGTCCATCTCTTCTTCTCCCCCATCTCGACTCCCCCTCCTCCTCGTCCTCGCTATCCTCGTAGTCCTCCTCGTCCACATCTTCCTCCTCCTCTCCATATCCCCCTCTCCTTGCCATATCCCCATCTTCTTGTCTTACGCCCCCCGTTCCCCCTCCCAAAATAATAATAATAATAATAATAAAAATAAAAAACCTGCACGATTCCGCACAGGCACCCCCGCACGGAACTCAGCACGAATGTGCGGCTCGTGTGGTTGCAAGTATGGTTAGCACTATAGCATTGGCCCAGGATTAGTCCGGAAGCATGCAAACAATGGAAGAACTGATCTGATCTCACCCGTAGACCGCCAGTACACAGCCCCAGCCTTGCTGAAAAAGTTTCGTCGCCTACTCCAAAAATTTCGTGCCTCGGGCCTACCGTCTTCACCCGAAAATAACGCCCCAGCGTTATATTCAACTTACCCTAAAAAGATGAGATTTTCATCTTTACTCACTTTTTTTCAAATAGAACGCCCCTTCGAATAGAACGCCCGGGCTTCATATTCGAATAGAGCGCCCGGGCGTTATATTTTAATGTTCCATGGGCAGAGTGCCTTGAAGAGGTAGTGTGCATGGGTTTTAAAGGGTGGGGAAGGGGGTATACATGAGTTTTCAAGAGGGTTGAATGGGATTTTGACTTCCAAGGGGTATATTTTGGCTTTTGTTTTCACTTTTTTTATGTTTTCTGAGTTTATAAGGAATTCTGAAGTGACCCACAGCCAAAAGTTGGTCGCATTCCAATCCTGGGTTGAAGTCCCACCGCCCAAATTGAGTTTTCTCTTCTTTTTTTTTTTTTTTTTTTTTTTCCCGAACTTCTGGAGAGGGCTACACTTGGGAGAATGATAAGAGCATCTCCCTCAAGTGGTCCCTCCGGTGAAGGCTCCGTCTATTGGTGGGGAGCTGCACCTGCTGGAAACCGGGTCCAGCATCCCAAGTATTACAGAAAAGCGTTGAAATTGCTGGAAACGAGGTCCAGCGTCCCACTTATTGCACCGTTACAGGCCTTCGTACTGCTGAAGGGCCCAGTTGTTCCTACTATGATCATTGCTGTATTCCTCCTTACTCCACTTCCAGTACCACTCTTAACTTTGAAACCCTTCCCCTGAGGTCTCGGCGAGGTCTGTTGTTCGTAGGGTCCAGCTCCCACTGTTATGGATTCCTATGTCCTCCTGTCTTTTATTGTGGGCTGTTTCCTTCATAAACTCAGGTCCCTTTTGTCCCTTGGAGCTGCTAGTGATTCCCTTCCCTTCCCTTCTTAGGGCACCCCGTATTTGTTAAGCCAGCCCTGGTCAGCAGCCCCCCATTTGAATGCCTGACCTATAATGTCCCTTACTCTCTTCAAGCTCCTACCGTCGACCTTCGTGATCCTTGAAGCCAGTGGCTCAGGCTACATCCCCAGTAGCGACTGCAGCCCTTTTGCCCAGTGGGGCTCACATCTCCTCCCGGGCCGAAAGCTGATGTAATTGCCCGCTGTTGTAGTTTAGCTGTCCAGTTGATCCCCATTTATCGCCACCGCCGGGCCGAAACCTGATGTAATTGCCCGCTGTTGTAGTTTAGCTGTCCAGTAGATCCCCATTTATCTCCGCCGCCTCCTGGTTCTGTTGTCTGTTTCTTATGGTGAGTTGCAGCCATTGTAGTGCACAGGCTTCCACCAGCACCCTTTCTCCCCCGGACTGTGACCTGGGACAATGTGCCTCCTTTTCACTTTCCCCTTGCTCCCTCTTCTCTCCCAGCCGATGGGGATCCTCCGGTATCACCGTGGTCTTGATAGTAATTGTCGTCACAGGAGTTGGGTCGGGGGGGAGAGGGGGGGAGAGGGGGGAAGGTGGTGGGTTATACTGGCTGAGGAGTGGAAGGGCGGGGTTGGGGGAGGGAGGACCATCGGGCTGGGGAGGAGTAACCGGTGGGGTGTCCGATGGCATTGGGGGGGGCAGCGGCGG